TTGCAAACATCCAATTTGCAGTGTATCGATCAGATTGTCGATTGTTGGAGCTTGACGATGTGTGAAATACCAACACAACCTGATTGATGGTTAAGCATTTTTCACGGTTCATAATCACAAAAATATAATCAAAATTTTGTGAGAAAACAAATACAAGGTGTGAAAATGATCACTGAGTTGTTCAGTTCAGCAAACAATTTACCGCATTCACATAAACGTGACATTTTCTCAGTTGTCAACAAGGCAAGATGATATATTATGAACTCATTTCTCCATCATTCCCATTTACATTAAAAATGATATTTTTACCATTTTTCATCGTATTTTATTGTCGATCGCGTTTGGTGTACAGGATAAAAAGTGTATTTCTTCGAAACTTAATGAGTTTCTTGCTTTCTTCACACCTCATTGCAAAACACTTTGTACAGAGTGAATGTATATCAAGATCTCGGTTCATTTTTGAAAATAGCGATCAAATTCATTTTTGTTCTTACCCAAAACAAAAACTTTGACTGCTTTTGGCCAATGTATTGTTAATTCGTTTGCTTTCTTTTTGTTGACACTTTTGGATTGGTGTGTGTGTGTGTGTGTTGTACGCTTGACAAAAAGAAACAACCACAACACCAACAATAACAAATAATAAATCATGGTTGGTGTTAAATATTGTGATAAAAATCGACATGGGCAAAGCGACATTCAGAGAACGTGCATTTCATCCGTCATTTGAGCTCAATTCTCTCTTTCGTATGCTTGGTGCGGTTTTTTCAAGCGAATTAGCTTATTTTAATTTTTTGGCATGAATCATTATAGCACTAAATCTCGATATTTTATTGACCTCCCAAGCGAAGAAGAATTAAAAAAACTGCTCTCTTTATACACTTCTTGGTTTTTGCATGTCAACAATTTCCTTTTCCATAAAATTCCGTTTTCCATTACTCAAATTTCATATGTCATTTTGTTTTATTTTTAACCATCTTTGACTCGTTTCTCTCAAAATTCTTCATTCGGAATCAGAATCTCTGACCTTTTTCACGCTTGGCTAACAATAAATCGTTCACTTATACGTCTTTTCCAAAATACCAACTGCTCGGATGTGTATGTATAAGGTATAACTATGGAATGATTTGTACGCATTCAATATAAATTTAAAACACTCAAATGATACAAGCCAAATGAATATGTATCTCTGAAATGAATACGATGCCTGCTTCTTTGGTCAAGCTATTTTAGTTTTTGGATAAATTACCCGAATTTTCGCATCACACGAAAAATAAAAACGTGACGATCACTGAGAGAGTAGCCAGCGGCGATCAACAAAATCTATTGTATTTGCTAATTTCGACCAGCATGTGCCGGTGTATGTGGCGAATCAAATTAGTATTTGAAGTAATTGTTTGTTATAATTCCATGAAATGACTATGTGGTGTGCAAGCCATCATCGTCCGGGATATAACAAAATTGGGCAGAACGCATACACTGATTGATTACATGGACTTCAAATGTGGCACGCATTCAAATTCGAATCAACATTGAAATAAAACCTCTTGGGAGTTTATACAAAAAATAAACGAATTTTTACGAACGGAGTTAATTAAAATAAGAAATAAGAACAAAAAGACGGTTCATTCAATCGGCCCCCTTTACTTCAACTTTAATCGGTCTGGAAAAAAAAAGTTTGAACAAGAATTAATTTGATGGCTTGACATAGTACGAAAAAAGGTGGCACTTAAAATAAAGCTCCTAATTTCATTTGAAAACTCAAGTCCATTTGTTTAAATCATTATAATTTGAGTTGAGCATATGTTCAATCGTGTAAATGTAAACTGAATTGTACAGCCTCTGGAGACCACCACTTTGAGGCGTCACTATTCGCAAAATTCAAAAATTTGATAAAAATGGAAAGCAAAATGAAACATTTTGATTTCATCAGATAATTCATTTTTATTTCGATAATGAAAGAAGTATTAGGATGCATTTATATGATATTTATGTTTTTTTTTGTGGATTTTTCTAAATATTCTGTAGATCGACCGCGGTATCAATTTGATGTTCCTAGAAAAATTCGCAGAACAAAAGTTTCTCTACCCTATTTTATATGGTGATCCTTGACAACAAAATCACTTCCCACTTTAAACGTATTATCTTATCTTAGAAAGCACTTAGACCGTAGTTTTAGGAATGCTTATCTATCCGCATGGGAAAGAACGTTTAAATTTCTATAAAAAGCGAGAATATTGAATTAGCATTCCGGCGATAAGATTGGAATTTCAGTGAATGAGAGAAAGAATGCGATATGTGATAGTATTTTTGAAGAAAACGATTTTCGATTTGACCTTGTTATTACACTCTTGAAATGAAACTCTTAGTTTTTTTTTGTCCAAAAATTCATTTGATTCCAAATACTTTTTAATGTATTTGCATTTGAATGGGCCATCAATAAAAAGAAACAAAAAGCAATTGTACGGAAACTCATCTTCTAAATGAATGTCGAAAATTCTAACATGGGCATAAATTGTCGACGCACAAATGTGGCCCATAAATAACAACATGTGACATAATAGAGCAATAAAATGCCCCAACCGTTCATCGAAACAATAACAAAAAAAACTACATTGGAATTTGTTTGGAAGGAGTTAGAAGGCAATAGCCACATGTAACAAAGTTTATTGGAGCGCAATTTAGCCAATGAGTTCATTATTAATGAACTTTCAGGCCCAGGAAGAATCTACATAGAGAATGAACAAAAACATTGATATCACAATCATTTCTAGTGAATCGAAATTCACACGAAACAGTGTCCGAATAACAATCCCATTAATTACGCACTGTAATAAATAACAAGCCGCTGTATATGTCATTTTATGATCTATTAATTATATGTTATAATAGAACTGTTATGTTGTTGTTTTTTTTCGACAATTTTAAATTGTGACCGAGTCTTATTTGTCATGCATATCAAATCAACACACGCGATGCAAAAATCTCTTATATAAAATAAAATTTGGGCGTCTGTGCACTTCACAATGTCAATGTTACGGTACTAAATTTCATTGTTTATTACATAGAATTGTGAATTGAAAATATCGAATGATCTAATTTTTGGCGCTTCCCAAGAGCTGGAGAAGAATACAAAACGAACCGAAACAAACGGGAGCATTTTTATAAATTTGTCAAATTCATTATGTCATTCGATTTAAATGACTGGCTAATGGTATTTTATGGTCGTTTCAGTTGATATATTTAATTTAACGAATCCCAATCACATTCCAATGCCTGTCTACTGAATTTAATTTTCTTAATTTATTTCATCACATTCGTTCATCATAAATTTATCCAAATCGATCTTGGCTTCCGTCTTGAAATTATTGTGTCGGCAAATCGATCGACAGCGAAAATTCGAGACCGCACCGCATGAGGTGCAAATAATAATAATAAGAAAAAACCACACACAATGGCTAGTCGCCAATAATCTCTGCATAAATTTTCTTATTCCGAATTATGTTTTTCTCTATCGAAATTGTCCAAAATAAAAAAATCGCTGTGTGTACGCTTTTGTTGATGTTTTTGCCATTGTTGGCTGTGTGATTTTCACAAAAAAAGCAATAAACATTTTTCAATCCTAATTCAAGGTTAAATCACGGTTGTTGTTCTAAGTGGCGCAAAACAAAAGAAAATCAGAAACAATAATCAATTGATTGCCCTAGGCCTCGAATTGATCGTTGCGCATTCATCGCGTACATTTCAATCGAAGTCTAGCGATGATCTAATATCGCAAAATAATTGCCAGCCAAAGTCAATGCATCAGTTATACGTTAAAGATGTGGGAGCACAGTTAATCAAGCGAGCGCACACCCAAAGCCAACAAATTTCACGGAAATAACATGTTCTTAGCTGAAGGAAAAAAGTTTGCCCACTTCACGTTATTTTTTTTGTTGTGATTAAATGAAGAAAATAATCTACAAAATTACGCAAAAGTATTGTACTGTTTGGTAACGAATCGTTAGATTTATAGGTTGTCTTCGACTGGGAACAGTTCATACTCATGATGTTAATCATTGCCGAGAATTGGTCATGCAAACGATGAACGGCGACGATGATGTGATTATTAGAAATTATTGTCATCAATTTAGTGCAAACCCATTATTTTGCTATTAATTAGCATTTACTGTTGTTTTCGTCATCGTACGCCGTCACGAAGTGCCGTCCGAATGGCTTTTGATTCAAGTGGAATACGCGCGAAAATTTCAAACAATAGGCTATTTCTTATTTTCTTTTCGACCGTTTATCTAACGATTGCAATTTATGAACCCCATAAATTGAAACAAGATGATTAGAAGTGGTTTGCAATCGACTTTTTTTTCTTCTGGCGACTGAATAGTGTCTCTTAATGAACCCGGAACAATAAGTTGAAGGAGAAAAAAAAACTATGCAATTTTATTGACTCATTTCAAATGCTAAGTACCGAGCAATTCATTAGTTTTATCTAAATTGTATTTATACGCAAATCGATCAAGTCAAGTTCCTATAAATATCGTAGCAATTCAATCTTTATCGATTTTAAATGGCATGTGATTCATTTTTTTCATTTCTCTTCAGAACTTTTTTTCATTTTTTTCTTCAGAATTGTTGCACCGTTTGGTTTCCATGTCCCAAACGATGATTCAATATATTTCATTGAAATAATTTGTTGCAGACCAAGTTTGAGACACATAACACAGCAAATCGAATTGAATTTGTTCACATTGCACTTAAGATCGATGACTTACTATAAAAAACCCATTTGATTCATACAAATGATAAAAAACAGCTGCTGTTCAAACTGATAAGGAATATGCAAACAATCGATTTGTCATTTCTCACGCGTGCCCGTATCTTTTTGTGATTAAGATTAAATTCTTGTGATATCAAAATTATTACTCACATTATCGAACCATTGCAATTTATTCATGTGACAAAAAAATATATATAAATATAAATAAATAACGATATAGTTTACTCACCGTTTGAATAGAAGCAGCTGTAGAGAGAAAAATGTCTCGCCTTTTTTTCGATGCACGAAAAAGATACACACAAAACAAATTTTAATTAAAAACAAAATTGTATCAGTTGCACTGAATTTATCGTCATTGATTTGTTTTACAAAAAAAAAAATGTGCCGTTTTGCGTTATTTTTCGAACTTTGGTCGTTGGCTTCTTTATTTCTGTAGTAAACGAAATATGCGTACAACAAAATTTAAGAATTAGTCAATGTAGAAAAGAATTATGAAAAAGTATAAAGTGAGAGAAAAAAAAATCTTTTCGGGTGTATTTAATAACTGGAGCTGATATTTTGTCGTTTGATATCGACGAGAATGAGAACAGGAATAAATGAATTCGTGTGATGACGAATGTGGCGTATGCAGAAAATCAGAAATCACAACTGTTTATCGTTCTTTAGTTTTTGGCTTCCATTTTCCTTCCCGATAGTTTAGCCTTTGTTTAATTAATTTCATTTGTCCCGCTCGATTGATCCATATTTTTTTTAAATCTTAATTTTATGTAAAACGTATATGGCGCATGTAAAAAGCTACCAAATAAATGTACGAAAAAAAACGAAGGAAGAGATAGAGAAAAAGAAACAGACGAACTAATTGTGGCGACGCTTAAAATGCCAAAATCTCTCTGTTCTATGGACACAGCGGGTAGAAGAAGAAAAAAAATGTGGAATGTAAAAGACAAATATTTAAATTTCAATCATGCGATCAACTGAAACGAAATTAACAGCGAACTGTTCACGATCAGCAGAGAAAAAAAAAACGTATTCATAAACCGTTAGCAAGCTAATAATATTTTTAATATATTCTTATCACCAAACCGATAAAAAAACTGTTTAAAATGGATTTCAATCTAATGGACGAAAAGCATGTTCTATCAATTTAGCAGATCTAGAGTAAGACCATTTGATTTTTTTTTATCATTAATCTTTTTAGTCGAACTTTTTTGTCACTTGCTGTTGATGTACTTGAAATTGAATTTAAAAAAGGACGGTTATTCAATCTGCGTAATATATTTTGGAAACATAGCCATTTTTTTATTGACACTTTGCGCAAAAAATGGATTTTTATCTCTTCATCTCATCATTATTTTCATTTTTCGTTTTTATCGAACGAGCAAGTCACTTAATTATTGCCATTTTTTTCTTTCGGCACAAAGACAACCGAAAAATTGACCATTATGGATTTGATGCAAAATAAATGTGATAATAATATATCCATCTTTGATTATACACATCGAACACCAAAATAAGAAAAATTTACTCTCGAAACGATCGTTAAATGATTAGTAAGCTTTAACCGAAAAAAATTTATATATAAATAAAATGTTTGATTTTTTAATTAGAGAAAAGAAAGAATGCGAAAAATGAATTAGTTAAAAGCGTGCAAAAAACCAATTCACAATGCACGAAATTACTTTTGGCAATATAAAAAAAAAATATTTGTTCTCGTTTTATTTTGTTGCTTTAGCTGGAAGCTCGAATTCGATATGAAAATCGAAGTTGTTATTCCTTCGATGTCACAGAAAATACTGATTTCATTTCTGATCGGCGTTAACAATAGGTTAGCACAGAGATTAAAATTGTTCAAACAGCGACGAAGGCAACATGTAAACAACACACAACATCATATAACAAAACAAAAACATATATATATTATACATACACAAAATTAAAAGCGAAGAGAGAAAACGAATGCCAGTACAGCGCAACTCTCGCGCTTTGTGAGAATAAAAAGCTTAGAGAGAGTATACACAAAGTGAGACTGTATTGCGATCGCACACATATGTGCTAGGGCACGCTGTCCGCCGATCGATAAAACTGTTGTTGGCGCTACAAAAACTACACACAATCATTAGATATATTGTGTTGCCCCGGTTCAATCGCGGTAAACCATGCGCTATCTCTTATTCTCCCGTCATTTTTATTTTTAATTCGGTAGTTCTCGTTGTGCCCAAGAACTTTCCAGTCAATCGCTGATTGAAGAAAACGAAGAAGCCGGTCCAAGGGAATATGCTTTCAAGCTATGGCAATTGACCGTTACTCTGATCACCACTTTCGATATATTCCAAATGGTATTACTCAATTTTGTGTTCAAGCAATCCCACGTAATGCCCGCTTATCAGGTAAGAGAAGGAGTTCTCGAAATCGCATTTTCTAATCCCATCATTTGCCCATCGGCCACAAAATCAACTATTTGAAATTCTGTTAACATGATACTTTACATAAATTTATTTTAAACATTTTGTGATCGGTTTTAACTTCCATTTCGCAACATTTTTTATTTCAAATGCACCGGTATTTTATTCAAAAGATGATATGTATTGATAAGAACATCTGCATATTCTAAATATTTTCTTCAGATATTTGGTCTTGGTCATCAATTGGCTGAAAATCGATTGCGCAATTCATTCAAATGAATAATGGCGTCAAACTAATGTTTTGAATTAAAATTTCGAACACAAAAAAAAATATTATTTAAAAACTATTTTCAGCTACCGTAACACGGAGAAAACGCTCTCAAAGCGAAACCGCCACATTGTTTATGCATGTGCAAATGAGAACTTGATTTATTAACGTGAACTAAAAAAACACGTAATAATAATACAATTAGCCAAACAATTTTGTGTCTAAATTTCGTCATCACTTTGAATCAAGGAAAATGAGAGCACAACTCATGATTCAATATTTCACCTTGATCAATTCAAATTCAAATGACGTTGATTAAAATAATTATACATTTGGTGGACATTTCGAAGAAAGTTTTTTTTTTAAATTGCCATTATCAATTAGTTGAATATGCGCCGGACATTCAATTGAAACCATATCAAAATGAAAATTCAAAATAAACTTGAAGAAAGAGGGAAAGATGGTATCTGTGTATCATACGCCTAGAGCTAAGTGTAAATAAAATCAAGCTTCAAGTTCCTTTAGTTATATTTCCAGTTGACAGATGGCGCTCTTCAACTGTCACACACATATATGATTTTCATTTTCAATGTAGTTGTTTTTAGCTTGGCATTTATGTTGTGACGTTTCGTTTGGGTGCTGTATAAATAAGTTGATTGAGTTTTTTTTTTATCTGATTGGAGTCAATCTGTAATCGAAATCCAGTGAATTGTTTTCTAGTTTTTTTTTTCTTCGTTTTCATTATAAATTACAATATACCAAATTTTGATACTTTTTTAACGTTGCCGTCGATTGACAATATAAAATCGACGTGATTTTTATGGTAAATTCAAGAAAATAGCTGCAAAACTAATACAGCGGACGAAGAATTACAAATACAATACAAAGAGACTTTGTCTGCTGTCAAAATACATATCATTTTGTGTTTTTTCCCATTTTTTTTTTCTTCTTAATTAATATGTGACTTAAACTAATTTATCATTTGATACAATTCAATTTTAGAGAAAAAAAAAACACTTTTTGTACGCGTAACATTTTGCATCTGTAGTAAATATTTTGTATTACAATAATTTGCCGACAACGATTGGATCGGAGATTGCAAAGTGAATATCTGAAAAAGAGAGAGATAAAAAAATGGATGAACAAGAGAAACTTTTGGGCGATGCGATTGCGGTGATTCGTAGTCAAGCCTTTCAAATGCAGAGATTCCTTGATAAAAATCGTTTGATGGACGCATTGAAATGTGCCAGCAATATGTTGGGCGAGCTCCGTACTTCACTTTTGTCACCCAAAAACTACTATGAACTTTGTGAGTATAACGCCCTAAAATTCGTAAACAAAGACATACAATTTTGTGTAAAAATGCATGCACATTATATTCTACAGATATGGCAATCACAGACGAATTGCGTCATTTGGAGGCCTATTTATTGGAAGAGTTTGAAAAAGGCCGAAAAGTGCCCGACCTTTATGAGTTAGTTCAATATGCCGGCAATATTGTGCCTCGTTTATATCTCCTAATTACCGTTGGTCTAGTTTACATCAAAACCAATCCATCACTAAACAAAAGCATTTTGAAGGTATGGTAAAATCGATTGTGTCACATAGATTTTGATTTTTAACCATTTTTTCATTGATTTTCTTTTTCTTTTTGAAGGATTTAGTTGAAATGTGCCGTGGTGTGCAGCATCCACTACGTGGACTTTTTTTACGTAATTATCTATTGCAATGTACGCGCAACGTACTGCCCGATGTGGTCGAGGCAACCGATGAACAAGAAGGAACTGTTTTTGATTCCATTGATTTTATATTAATGAATTTTGCTGAAATGAATAAATTATGGGTGCGAATGCAACATCAAGGCCATTCAAGTGAACGAACACGTCGTGAGAAAGAGCGTGAAGAATTGAAAATTTTAGTTGGCACCAATTTGGTGCGATTGTCACAATTAGAATCGGCCACATTAGATACTTACCAAAAATTAATATTGCCCGGTATTCTTGAGCAAGTGGTGAGTTGTCGTGATGCCATCGCACAAGAATATCTCATGGAGTGTATCATTCAAGTCATTCCCGACGAATTTCATTTGCAAACACTTGATCCGTTCTTGAAGTCATGTGCACAATTGGAATCCGGTGTTAATGTGAAAAACATCATTATTTCACTCATCGATCGACTCGCTGCGTACAATCAACGCATCGAAAAGGTAAAGGTTCATTTTTATATCAAAAATTATTCTTTTTTGTGATTTTTTAAAATACAAAGTATGTACATTTTTTTTATAGAATCAAGTATCAGCGGATGACAAGAGTCCAACAGCAATACCGTCGGATGTTCAATTGTTTGAAGCATTTAGTGTACAAATTGCCAATATTGTGCAGGTAACCTAATGAATTCATTTAAATATACTCCCTTTTTACAAATATTATCTATTTACCCTCATCACAGATTCGTACTGATATGCCATTGGAAGATACCGTATCGTTGCAAGTGGCTTTGGTGAATTTGGCACAAAAAGTCTATCCAGATCGAGTCGATTATGTTGACAAAGTATTGGAAACAACAATTCAAATTCTTGAACGTTTGAATATGGAGAAGTAAGTGTTCTGCTAAACCTTGCCAAATCGAATAAACCAAATCTCTTATTAAAAATTTTTTTTTTTTTTTTAGTATTGCGCATACGTTATCTGTTAATCAAGAATTGTCACGATTGTTACGAATTTGTGTTGACTTCTACAATGATGCATTGACTCTTATAAAATTGGAGCACTTCAGTCCTTTATTGCAGAAATTCGATTATACATCGCGAAAATCGTTGGCACTTTACATTGTATTGAATATATTGGATAATGAGACGTTAATTCCAACAGCCGAAGAGGTTGATAATATCCTTGTTATGATTGCACCGTTAATAAAAGATGAAGCAGATCAGCCAGCTGAAAAAATTGATCCGGAAGATTTTGCTGAAGAGCAGGGTATTACCGGTCGATTTGTGCATTTATTGCATAGCGATGAGCCCGATCAACAGTATAAAATACTTCAAATTGCGCGTAAGCATTTCGGTGAAGGTGGTACATTGCGGATTAAGCACGTTCTGCCATCGTTGGTATTCCAAGCATTTCAGTTGGCATGTAAATACAAAAGTATTGCCGAAACCGATGAGATGTGGGATAAAAAGTGCCAGAAAATTCTTCAATTTTGTCATAATACAATAACTGCGTTGGCACGATCCGATTTACCTGATCTTGCGTTACGACTATTTCTTCAGGGTGCATTGGTTGTTGGCCAACTTGGATATACAAATCATGAGACAGTGGCATACGATTTTATGACTCAAGCATTTTCATTGTACGAAGATGAAATCTCCGATTCAAAGTCACAATTGGCCGCAATTACATTGATTATGGCAACGTTTGAACAAATGTCATGTTTTAGCGAAGAAAATGCCGAACCACAACGAACAAACTATGCATTGGCCGCTGCCAAATTGCTAAAGAAACCGGATCAATGTCGGGGTGTTGTGATTTGTGCCAGCCTATTTTGGAGCGGAAAGTAAGTCGAATTTGTTGACATTTTTTTTTGTTCAAAATGCGTTTGACTTTAATTTTTAACTATTCATTTTCATAGAAAAAATGGCGAAGAAATGCGTGACGAAAAACGTACATTGGAATGTCTGAAGAAAGCAGCAAGAATTGCATCACAATGCATGGATACTGGCGTTCAAGTGCAAATTTGTGTGGAATTACTCAATCACTATCTCTTTTACTTTGAACGAGGAAACTCATTGATCACCGTTGATTTGTTGAATCAGGTTGGTTTTTTTCTTCTTCTGTCCTTCTCAATTCCATTTCAAATAATGTGTATATCTGTGTTGTGTTTCAGTTGATCGCAAAAATAAATGAAGAACTTCCAAATCTCGAGCAATGCGAAGAATCAAAACAGATTGAGGTGCATTATCAAAATACATTGGCACACATTCGAAGTCGTATGAAATCAAGTGATTCAACTGGTTTGGAGGTGTCATTTGAAGGGATCACCTTAAGTTAAATCAAAAGTATTGTGTATTGTGATGATTTGTTTATATTTGCAATTCTAAATGATTTCATTATACACACAAACACATTCACATCCCGTGAAGAAATTAGATTTAGTTGAGTTTTTTTGAGAGAAACATTGTAATCGAATCTTTGACCCGATTCATTCATACAAAAAAAACCGAACGAATAAAATTTCAATAAAAAATTAAGAAAACAAATAAAACGACGTATTTATTTTATTTTAATACAGAATATTTTAATCAATTTGAATTGAATTGAACAAATGAGAAAGAAAATTACGTTGAGTGTTTTATCATCATTTGATTAAATTTAAATCTCGATTAAGTCTTAAATCTATACGGGGGGCGGCACAAAATAAAAACTGTGATCAAATGTGTGAAGAAAAAAAAAAAAACGATTTGGACCTAAACATTGTTCACATTAATGATCCTTTTTAAAAGGTAATGTGCACACACTTGGGCTGAGTTTAAAAACAACAAATGGACACACTGTGGGGGGTTGACATGGATGTTATTACATTAAATGTTAATGTTAAATTTTTAGCTCGTATACATTAACCAAAAGAACCATTAAATTCATATTCGTTACATTTTTTGTGTCGACCACTTATCGATATTCATTGACGTTTTACAAATAGTTCCAATGTTTGTATTATATGCTATCGAAAATATTGATCGAACAAGTATGAAGAACAAAGCAATCATTGTATCATGCAATATCGATAAACGATCGACAACAAGCCAAAATGTCATCAAGCACGACTTATCGAACCAAATACATTGTGTTTATATGAAAGTTTACGTGATATGGCTTAAATAACTAATTTACCCTCATTTCTACATGCTAATTGGCATGATTTCAGCTCATTCGTGTCCTTAAATGTGTTATACTTGGAATTGTATCTTCTTTTTTTACTCTCATTTACATGTCTATTCATTTTGTGTATGTATTGGTTTGATTTCTTTGGTTTTGGCTAGTATGCCATTCGATGGACGACGCAAAAATGCACACAAACTTATTATATTTCGACGAACTCTCTCGAGTCACAAATTCGGAAGTATAAAGAGTTTGTGTGAAAATCGGCATTGATACCAAATGCGCGTTCGTAAGTTTTGATAAAATAATTCATAAATTTACGATTAATAATTAACTATTTGTATGTTGTTGTTTTTTTTGTTGTTGTAAATTCCATTTGTGCATTCAGATAATTTATACACATCTGTCGATCAAAAACGATAATTGTGAATCGAACATATACATATATATTATATAATAAAATTGGTTTTTTCTCTTATCATTGTTGTCTTGTAACATATTTATTATAGACAAATGACATGTGCGAACGAAAATTTGTATGTATTTATTTAATTATTCTTTTGTTTTCTCTCTATGTCAAAAGAGTTTTACCATCAAAACGAAACCTAAAACAAAAGATATGCTCTCTAATGTTAATAACGAAATTGCTTTGGATTATTTGGGCACAATTGTGCACGTTTTTTTTTTTTTTCAAATATTAAATGAAATATATAATATGCCTTAAATTAAATACATCATTTATTTCATGGGCTTCTTTCTTCTTAACTCTTTGCGATTATACAATTACAATTTTCTTCAAAATTCTTAATATTATTACATAGAAAAATGTGTATATGTTATATGAATTCGATAAAATTTGAATAAAGAGGGCATGGGGTGATTGACGTTTAGAAAAAAGAATGTTTAGTTGACATCGATTAATTGTGAGTGCATAAATTATAGCAATGTTTGCTTTACATTGTGTGTAACATTTCATTTGAAATATTTGATAAACGCTGGGCAACTGCCTTCAAAGCATCATTCTATTTCGCCTCTTCCTATTTCGCCTTTTTTTTTTGGTCGCATTCAAATAATTTCGTAACATCCAAAATAGGTTCGAACGCCTTCTGAAACAGACTCAGAATTGCTCGGACGGACCATGGCAAATTGTTTGCTTTATTTTTCGGCGACATTGATTTATTTATACCATTTGGAAAAAACATATTCTATTTACACCGAAAAAAAGGTATATTTTTGGTTCAAATTTTATTTCTCCGTACTTTTCAAATATATTTTATGTATTTTTATATTAAAAATTATGTTTAAATTGTGGATTACTGTTTCGAAATTGAGAAATATGGGCATTTGAAAATATATACATGCATACACTTAATTAACCAATAGCTTTATATATATTTAGACACATTGATTGAATTAACCCAAATTGAAATGATTGTGTTTTTTTTTGTCTGTTTGCTTGACAATCAAATCGTCGTATTTTCTTGAATCATTTGAAAGTCAAATAATGATCATAAGCTTTGTGTTAAAAAAAATGCATGGCGTTTATGTAATTTTATTCTATTGAAAATTTAGTGTAAGCTGTGTGGTTGTCTGTTGAAAATGAATTTGATGCTGTACACTTTTGTGTTATCAAATCCATTTTAACATTCTATACACATGTTTTATTTGATTTGATTTTGCATTGTTAATTCAATTATTTTGTATTTTAATGGCGAAGAAGCATGGGGAGGAAAATGTGCAAGTTTATGTTTATATGTTTATTTTATACACTGTGTTTGTATCATTTTAAAATAATTTTTATATGTTTCACATGCACATGTACTTGTTGTTGTGGTTGTGGTTTTTATTATCGTGTTGCTGGTTGATGCATTTATTCACAGTTTATTTCACATGCTGTGCAGCGCGCGCAACATTCTCGTAAAATTACGATTTTGTCGCGAATGTATTTTTTCCTTGTATACCCGATTTTTCCGAACAGCTTGATAAGCTTAAAAAATTAGTTAGTTTTCCCTTGTTCTTTCTCTTTTGTCATGTTCTCTCTGCGTTTGTTTGATTTCGGTTTTCTTTTGTCACCCTTTTCTCGGCTTCGCATTTCGAGGTTCCCCAAACAAATTATGCAGAAAGAAAAGAAACACATACACACCCACCCACCGTAAAGGTAATTATGTTGTCTTTTTTTTTGTCTTCAAATTCCTTTCTTAATCAGCAAACAAAGATAAATTTTCAGTTGAAAAATGCAAACACAATTTTAAGAGATTAGAAGAGAGTGAAACGAAAAAAAGTTTGCCATTCCACAAGTGGCTGATAGGATTTGTTCTGTTAATGGCGGATAGAATCATTTATTGCTGTAAGTCATAAATACAACGATTTTTCTTCCTCTATGTTTATCTTAATGATTTTGATTTTTGGAATTTTCGGTCACATTTTTTTAGATGCTCGGCTACTTAGTCGTCAGGATTTATGGTCATTGAACACCCAAATAAATTTCAATGCTTAAAAAATGTATGCCGACCGAATTTATGTTATTTTTATCTTTGTAAATCGTTGTTTTGATTATGTTTCGACTTCCAGCATCATTTTCATTCACTTTCGATCATCGATATCAGCACTAGAGAAATAAACTCAAATGAGCAAAGACTCAAACACAGAGAAATAGAGAGTGTGCGAGAGAGAGAGAAAGAGAAATATACAAGAATTGTGATAAATTTTGAAAAAAAAAACTTAATGAAAAATCATCATTAATATGTAGTGTAGGATTTGATAAAATCAAATATTTTTTGTGCTTTTCCGATGGTTGTAAACGATTCATGCAAAGCCAAGAGATACGATATTTATCATAACACAGTCCTGCATAAAACACAAAGTGAGAGCACCCTGCCAACTTGTGAAAGAAAGCATTAGTTTTAACTGTCCAACTGATAACACTCACTATTCATCCAAAATGAATATTCAACTTTATTCGAGTGCCGTAGATATTGGTATGCTCTTGGCTTTGTATGCTCATTGTGTTTAGATTTCAGTAATTTACTATGCTATAACATATATAATAATTAATCTCTAGTAAAATCTCAATAAATTTCAATGTACAAAATTCAATATATTTCTTGAGATTCCTAATGAATTGCTCCCATTTGCTCGCTATCTCGATTATTTATATGAATATATTAACTCTATTGTTATATTATTTCACTTAAATGAATGAAAAAAATCAACCGCCAAGAAACCAAAAAAACTAATCAACAAAATATAAAATCTAAATTGGACTCGCATTGTTTGCAATGGTCAATCAAATGAAATCATTTGACGCTCATTTTGAAACCAAATCGAAACTACAAAAATCAATGCAACGAAAAAACAAGAGAAAAGAAACATATATTCTAAATTCTTAAAATGGTCCAATAAAAAAAACTGAACGCAACATTTTCTGCTTAGAAACTAAACGCTGAAAATTGTAAATTGTATTTATTGCATTTAAATCTTTACATTTTGGTATATCTCTATCATATGCATACGAATCTCTTGTGATCGAGTGTATGCGTTAACTAATGTGAATGTTAATAAATTAGACTGTTTTGTTCTTTTGTTCAAACGAATAACGAGCGCATTTGCATCGATTTAAACCGTACGCACGCACACCAATGATGCGTGCCATTGTGTTGAATCGTTCAATTCGCCGATATTCATTTGTATGATACATTGGCAATAGGTATCATTTATTTATACTCGAGTTTAGCGAATTTAACCATTTTTTTTTTTCAAATGGATTAATGCCCATATTCGCAAAACTCGCAAATAAATAGACATTACCGCATGCATTATGCTATGTTTTTGTTTACGTTAATTTTTGTAAACATACTTAAACACTATACATTTCTTGTTAATTGCTATTCAATTTTATATAAACCCATTAAATGGTGCTGCGTGAACCATTTCAGTGCTAGGGTCATTATTATGGAAAATCGGTTATTAAAATTAATTCTAAAGGATCGACTTAAACCAGCTGTCATTATTCGCAACGAGGCATTACGCTGCCGAAATCATTTTCAAGTGAACACGTGCCGAACATAGTTTTACTTTTTGTATGATTTTTTTTCGATTTTTGATGTGATTTTAAATTACAAATGAAATGTTATTTCTTTCAAAAGTAAAAGTATCACGTGAAAAATTCAAGCCGTTATTTATAGTCATGCAGTTGTTCCACTTAAAAATGATCTCGGTCAGGTATTTGCTCATTGACCAAAGATTAAAAACTATTTTGTAAATGTCCAATTCTTAAAAAAACAAACCTAAATCACACAGTGGCAAAAAAATTAACCAAACATTTGTCATATATTTTTGTTCGTTTATAATTGAAATATTTAATTATATCCAATGTACACAATACACATTTAGATTAGATTTGCTAATTATATAATTTTAGTATTTGGAAAAAATGGACCCAAAAATTTGAACGGTTCTATCAATAAAATGATTGAAATTATTTAAATTTATATAGATTTGACGACAACGATGACGAGCAAATAAATGAAAAAAATAACACTGCTTCATATGGTATTTGATTTTGTCGGTTTATCATTTTAAATTGCAATTTATGTGTAAATCATTTAAAATTGCATTTTGGTGAATAATAAATTCGATTCTAAGTCGGACTAAGGGACCAAAAGGGGTTTTGTTTTTGTTCAATCGAATTGCTCTGATAATTCAAAATATGTAAATATACGCATTACGTGTTGTTTTGGAGGAGGAGGGGATTGTGAATTCAATCGAATCGCGCCCACCGATAAGGCTTTTGTTTTGTCTTATGTTTAAATCATCGATGTGGTTGATTTGAAAGAATGCATCTGAGCGCAATCGAATGAGAATCAAGATGAAATTAGAGAAATTCTTTGGAAAAGACAACGATAGAAAAACAGAGGAGTTTTGATATAGCTTGAACGTTTTTCGATTGCGATAGAAACCATGAGAGTGCGGTCTGCGGTGTATTCTATGAATTTCGATTGGGAAATCTTAAAGCTGAATATTCTCAAGTCCAATGATATTGCGATCAGAAATCAAATGTGATAATAAATAGAGTGTTTAATCGATGAGAAATAAAGAGCAGACTGTGTGTTCGGTATACTATGGGTCACATATCTTGCATCTAGAAATATCAGTGCCTACTGAAATCATACCGAACACACAGCCTGATAAAGAGAGAGATAGAGAGAGTTTGTGTGTTATCAAATTTTGATCCATCTATCTACTAATAAATATGAAACTAGCTAAAACGCAATCGCACAATTGTTGCGCTCGCTTGTTGTTGCTTTGCAGATATTATATTGAGACATTTTCAGGCAGCTAACTTCAGAGGCTGATATGGAGTGAAAACAATTGAAGTGATTGTACAATGGAAGTGTTTTTATAAACAGTGATGTTTTCTCGTTAGCCAGCATTGTCTTAGCCTTGGTTTACACCAACAACTGGTCTATGCCAATCGTTAGCCAGCTATCTGTGGGACTACGTACGATTCTCACTGACGTTTATGAGTGACATACAACTCACTGTATATATGTATGTATTAGTGCTGGTTTACACATTCGTTAGCCAGTGCTAATGTGCCCATCACTGTTTATAACTATAACAATGAATTCTATTGTTGTTGCTCCATTTCAGAGCCCAAGTGGATTCAGCTGGCTGAAAATATCTCAATATATGTCTGTTGCATTTCTTGATAATGACAATGAACATGACAAAAATGCATGTGTGTTAATGGAAACGATTTTTTTTAGTATTATTTTTGTATCTGCGTTCTCCTCTTTACTATTTAATTAATGTCAAAAATGATTATTTTTTTTAAATTTTAATGCTAAATCTATGTTGTATTTTAAATCTAGTTCGGGAACATTAAACATACCAACAATTAAATGAAACAAACCAAAATTCGTATGTTCCTTACATTTTACTTCGGTTTGTGACTTTTAGCAGTGTTGATCTGATCTAGTATATGATTGTTTCATTGAACAAATCTATCGCATCCTAAAAATGTTAAACTATTGATATCGTTAAACCATTTCTTCAATTAATGATCGACTGGGGTATAAAAAAGGAGCAAATTCGTCTACAGATTTTCTCTTGACTTCGATCTATAAAAAAATGTTATGTTCAACTTATACAATCCAAATAAAATGCAAGATTTCAATCGATGGAGCACTGCCAGATTTTGATTTAAATAAAAAAAGAGAGTGAATGAGAAAGAGAGAAAATAAAAGTCTTTGAAGAAGGACCCGAAAAAAATTACTTACTTGCTACTTGTCAAATGTTGTGCGGGACGTTTGATTTTTTTTGCATGGAAAATGCATATGTACAAAAAAAATTGTGTCAATGATAATTGAAATTTGAATATGGATAAATGAACGAACGAAGTCGAAATAATATATCGATTCATATTGCACATTTGGATTTGATGGCGAATATAACGGGGGATGAGTAAATAAAAGTCATCACATCAATATATTCTGTCGTGATTATCATGATGATGATGTTGATTTGATATTGATGTGCGCCGTCTGATGCCATTTACAGAACGTGAAGATTTTCACAACTTTTTGATTTTGAATCACGTGCCCATACCCGACCCAATAAGCCTTTTACTTTCAAACTGGCCGATGTACGTGTTCCACGAACTTTGCGTGGGCTAAATAATCAAATGAAACATAAAACATTTGTTAATATATATACATGTTTTTTTGTTCACTTTTCTGCATCCTTAACCTCCTCTTTTTTTATTGTTTGAGGTGATGAGATAGATTGAATATGTTTGTGCTGTGTTTACCTATTTTGAGCACTACTGGGTGGTGTTGGACAATCACTCATGTCATTCGGTCCCATTGAAATTGGAGTACTTGGATTGGTCGCATTATTCCCAGACAAACAAGCTGTACCAAGCGGTGAACATGATCTTCGTTTCGATTTGCGGCACGATCTCTTCCGAAATAAATCCCTACAAAATTTACCAATAAATAATATTCAAGTGAAATCGATGCAGAAAATGTGTTAAAGTGCTTATTGTTTGAATGGCTTGATTGAAATGGTCGTTATACAAGTAACAACCATAGTGTGATTTGAGCACATTTTTGAGCACTTGAAGGTGGCTTGAATGTTCGAATATTTGTGTCAAAAATGCATATTTCAATAAATGATGATGGTTGGTGTTGTGCGCGAGCATGAATGTAACCGAGTGTGATATGCACCAAATGACAGGATTACAGGTAAACGAGCATTTATTGTACATTTATAAAATCATTTAGAAACCGAGTTTTCAGAGAGAGAGAGAGAGAGAGAGAGAGAGAGAGAGAGAGAGAGAGAGA